TTAAAATTCCAGTATATATACCACCATTTGTAAACGCTAAAACCTGCACGTAAACCATTTAATTGACACATATTGGGATTTTTTGTTAGCAAAGACATGTAGCAGAATACATTTTGGCCTCAATTTATGATGACATTTTATTTATTTTTTTTTTTACTGGACATGTTTAATAGCAAAAAGTCAAAAATACGTTTTTTTTTTTTCTCAAAATTGTCTTTTTTTTATAGTGCAAAAAATAAAAAACGCACAGGCGATCAAATATCACTGAAAGAAAGCTCAATTTGTGGGAAAAAAGGACGTAAAATTTAATTTGGGTGCAGGGTTGCATGACCACGCAATTGTCAGGCAAAGTACCGCAGCGCCGTAACAAAAACATGTCCTGGTCAGGAAGGAGGGTAAATCCTCTGGAGGGCAAGTGGTTGAAACCCTAGTGATGAGATCTCCCTGCTTAATTTCACAGCTCTTGTACTTTTAAGGCTGTCTTGCCGCTCTTTGGATGTTTCCACTCTTTTAACTGCATTCTCCAAAGTCCTGGTTCCCAACCAGCAGCTCGAAGGCCACATGCAGCCCTTTGGCACTTTGTGTGCAGCCCTCGAGGCCCCTTGCAGATACAAATCTGTGTTTCTCTATTGCCCTGTTATAGAAGTGAGTTCTGGCAGTCTCATAAAATATGTCTTCAGTCTATGACAGTCTCCTGAAGTATGTCCCCAGTCTCCAACAACTCCTATAGCATGTTTACAGTCCCTGACAGTCTCCTGCAGTATGTCCACTGTCTCTGATCATGTCTTGTGTTATGTCCACAATCTCTGGCCATCTCTTGTATCATGCTGTTAGTCTGACTGGGGGGCAGTGGCATCCCGAGGCAGGTGTGGGGGGTGTGGCCCGCCCGGGTGACACTGGACCTGTACAACGATAAGGTAAGTTGTAAAGCAAGCCGACGATCCCCGCAGGATGGATCCTTGGCTTTCTTTACAACTTACCTTTTCGTAGAGCGGGTTCGGTGTCACCCCGTATAGGTTGCATGCCGACAATCCCCGCAGAATGGATCATTGGCATGCAACTTATACGGGGTGACACCAAACCCGCTCCACAAAAAGGTAAGTTGTAAAGAAACCCGACTATCCCCGCAGGATGGATCAGATCTGCGGATTGAGTATAATGGATCGGAGTCCGATCCATTATGCTCAATCCGCAGATCCGATCCATTCTGTGGGGATCATCAGAGGGGGTGTCACCAAGTGTTACCGCACTGGGTGACACCAACCCTAGGGACGCCCCTGCTGGGGGGGTTGATTTACTAAAGGCAAATAGGCTGTGCACTGAAATGCAGTTGCTCTAGATCTGAGGGGAATTTGCAAGGAAAATAAAAAAAAAACGCTTTTTTGCTTGCACATGATTGGATGAAAGAAATCAACAGAGCTTCACCTCATTTCAGAGCTTCCACTCAGATCTAAAGCAACTGCAATTGCAGTGCAAAGTATATTTACCTTTATATAAATCAACCGCTATATCTTGTTGTGTGTCTCCTGTCTTTGATCATTTATATTCACTGAATTTTGTGTGACCCTTTGGTAATGTTGGGAACCACACCTGAGGCCCTCCCATATCAAGAAAATTGACTACCGCTGATCTAAAGCAAGATGTAAATGACAATTTCTACAAGGTGAGTGGAAACCCTTTGCAGCAGGTATGCAGACCTGGATAAATAATGCAGATACCGCAACCACTGGAGACCAAGAAACATATAATAAACTGATAACACATGTAGCTGAATATCAGTTTTGGGACAAAGAACCTTTTGTTTATTTTGCTTCAGTTGACATTGTAGGTATACATTGCTTGTACATTATATATGACTGTACATTATAATGGGGTCCCTCCTTATTTTGCTTTGTCGGTATGGAGTTACACATTGGGCATCGTGGCAACACTGACTGTCTGCCACATTCACCTGACCTGACAGTTATGGATTTTTTGGGGGGAGACATAGTAAAGGATCATGTTTATGACTGGAAACACCACACTGGACAAAATGAAGGAGCAGGGGCAGACTGACAGCTCATAGGACCCCGGGCAATAGGGGATCATGGGGCCCCTGTGTCCTTGCCCACAGTCAAAGCACACCCAAAAAAGCCTATAAAAGATACCAGGGGCATTTCATGGGGCCCCCTACTGACCCCGGGCCCTCGGGCAGTGCCCGAGTGCTCAAATGGTCAGTCCGCCCCTGTGAAGGAGTTTATCTCACAAGCATTTATAGACATTGATGCTGGCTGGATCTTATTAGTTACTGTGTGACGCAGTAACAAGATCCAGGAATGCAGCAACATTGCTGGAGGAAATTCTGAGTGCCTAAGAGACTAAACGGTGCCACAGTGTTGGAGAGAGGTTATAGGAATGTTGCACCTAAGAGACCAAACAAGACTCGATCGGTACTGTATGCCAACCTTTGGCCATATCATTCTTAATATTTGTAAAGTAAAAATAAATTCTAAATGAATTAAAAAATATAAATACAACTAAAACAAAATGTCATGATGCGATCAGTAATGTATACCTACTTTTGGTCCACGCTGTATAAGCATATTATTGAATTACTATGTGAAAAAAACCTTTACAATAATTGAAAATAATAATAATAATAATAAATCATTTATTCTTATAGGACATTTGTGAACTCTGAAGTAAACATAGTGATACAGGCACAATAATAATCTCTTAAAAATAAAACTGGCTTTCAACCTCAGTTCCATTGCATAAAGTGTACATTATGTAAGCTATATTTTACAACACCATATCACGCTCAGTATACCCATATAGGGTAAACATAAATCACATGAAACTTTAATGGCAGCAGGCAATAAACTGTCTTTTCAGAGATGTTCTTCAAAGAATGGAGAACACATTTTAAAGGAGGGCTTCTAGATAAATAAAAATGCATCAGCAACAGCCTAAAGACAAATGTGCTAACAAACAAGATTTTATTTTGTGTTGTTTTTGTTATCCTCTGCTGAGTAATATGCAAATTAAGAAGTCCTATTGTCAGGTGCTCCCCATCAACACCACGTTTCAGCAACTTCATGATACATGATTCACAAAGTGTCACTCTACATAAAAAACAAATTAGCAAAAAGCAGCCTGTCTTGTAGGACTCAACACAGTATCAGGCAATCAGAGGCAATGGATTTGATGGCGCCATCTGTTGCTTGTATATTGAGTCCTTTTTTTTTTTTTTTTTGTAATAATGTCTTGGGGGACACTTGCTTATTAAAGAGCGATAAATCTCTGCTGGTATACACCCCAATGCATTTAAGTGTTTTATACCTGGAGGACTTTGCAGTATTCAACAGGGGTCTTGCAATATGGACAAGTCAAACATAATGACTCTTCTTTACAAACTGTTTGAATACAACATACAGTACTCTCTTAGCAGTGTACACAATTAACAAGGAATAAATGAACTGATTGTGATATCTGAACTCAAAATCTAAGTTTTATAAGTAAACCACACTAGCATATGAATCCAAAAAACTAGTCTTTGTATTCAATGCCCCATACAGTAAATATAATTAATTATCCTAATATCAATAAAAGTGCAAGCTATACTTTAGGGATCACCATACTGACAGCACTCATTACTCAATCTCTTTTACATTTTTGGCTATAGTGCTATAAACTCTTGATCTATTGGATGTTTACTGAAACAACCACACATATTCTTGCACTCATGGAAACAACACATTTGGAATCAATATGAACATTGAAGACAGTCTGAAAATTCTTGCTATTTGTGCCCTTAATCAATAGAGTTCTGGCCTTTAAAGCTAACCTCAGGTAGATATATAACATTAATTAATGACATTTGTAGCAACTTTATATTTATTTTAAATGTAACTTGTGGATGTACCTGGATTTGACTTGGTATCATCCTCTTGTAATTTTCTGTACAATAAATCTTATGTCTGCCATACGTGGATTTAAATCTGGCTGGTTCATCAAGGATGAATTTTGATCTATGTATGGGCAGGCTGGTTATACAGAGATGTCTACCTATCGACTTCTGTACAACCACCCTGTTGGCTTTTTCCTGTTTGACCAGCATAGCAGGCTATAGCCAGCAGGACTGATCAGTGTATTCTGATGGCAGGGACGTCTCCAGAATACAAAGGCTCAGCTGGGAGGATTCCCCCATCCACATCAAGTGTATGGATAGAGGAATCTGGGAATTTTTTGGGGGGAATTGTTTTTTCTGGGAATTGTTCAACCCCTGGTTGAATGAAAAAAAAAGAAGCATGTATGTGATGCCTTAGACTGGAAATGTGGGAGTCCAGCAAAGGGACCAATCAGGTTTAATAAGGACACAAGCTGACAAAGAAACATGCTAGCTGGGAGAGAGTGCAGAATGGGCAGAGGGATGTTTCCATCAGTCTTCTACTGTCCTTTTACTGACCAATCACAGACAAGCTGTAATGTTTAACTGCAGTGAAGTGAGGTCACCAACCTGGCTGTGTTGCCCAACACACTTGTGTTAGTATCAAGATTGGCTTAGTAGAAATAACTACTAATCCTTTGGTGATTAAAACAGATCTCAAATATGTATTTCAATTAAGTATTTACCTGTATTCCTGAAGTTCAGCTTTAAGTGCTAATTGCACTAATCCATACCAACCAATCAGAATTTGCTCTGCTAAAACTAGACCAGTAAAGGATGGATGCAGATTGGTTTGTTATGGGTTACTGCATCTACATATTAGAACTCTTTATTGAATAAGGTGATTGTGATAACACCTCCAGCATATTTATCTAGAAACACACACAATGAAGGTCACAGTTAATATTTAACATCTTCAGGTGCAGCAACCAGTACACAAATGTAACAAAGCCTGCTGGCTGCATTGCTCCCACAGATATAAGGCTTGTTTAAACCAATGATGTGTGCAAAACCAGTACTAGTAGATATAAGTACAGGAATCTATCCAGCAGCTCTCCAAAAAGAATGTGCTTCACTTGCATTGTTCTTGATCAATATATTCATCCAGTTCCATATCAGAGTCAAAAAGTGAATGTCCAGTGTAATCAGTATCTGGGGTTTGAGAAATGCTATTTTCTGTTCCCTCATCATCAAAGGTCCCAGTCCTTGAATAAAAACTGAAGTCCAGTAGGGGAGTGTGCGTCTTGCTTTCCTCACCGCTGTCATCGGATTCATATAATGAGTTGTCGTTGTCATCATGCCATTCTGGCCAAAATTTCCTTCTTATTCTTTCACAGTACATAGCAAGATTAATGAGCTCCCCTGCAAAACAGAAGACTATTGTTAGATTGGTGTAAGTCAGGCATTACAAGTTATATGCATAGTAACATAGTTCCACATTGTTAAATGTCTATCCACCAAACTCAAACATTTTGTGGAACTTTTGAAAAATATTAAGCATTTCCTAATATTGTTATGTATCAGATCAAAAATACTTATGCATAAAAAGTGAAAGTATATCTAAATATATTTTTTGTTTTGGAAAAAGTGGCGAAGTGTTAGAACCCCTGGCATGTTTTTACTGAGGTCTTTGTCCCTGCACAGTCCCTTTATTTGTCTTAGTACGCATTGTCAACAGGACTAAAGTGATAGAAATTCAAGATTTTGAAGGTTAGAGAACAGGAATAAAGGGGAAATATTCAAATGGGGAACTTTTTCTGGTGCTAGCTAAGAGGGGATTTCCATTTACTTTACAGAGTTTTACTCTCACTTTCTGTTATATCTATAGGGCAATATGTGAATATTTAAACCTTTCCCGCCCTACCCACAAAAAAAAAAAAGATTTGGCTTGAGGCACACTTTTAACAAATTATGACAAATACACTGTATTGCCAAAAGTATTGGGACGCCTGCCTTTACACGCATATGACATTGAATGGGATCTCAGTCTTAGTCCATAGGGTACAATATTGAGTGGGCCCACTCTTTGCAGCTATAACAGCTTCAACTCTTCTGGGAAGGCTGTCCACAAGGTTTAGGAGTGTGTCTATGGGAATGTTTGACCATTCTTCCAGAAGCACATTTGTGAGGTCAGCCACTGATGTTGGACGAGAAGGCCTGGCTCGCAGTCTCCACTCTAATTCATCCCAAAGGTGTTCTATCGGGTTGAGGTCAGGACTCTGTGCAGGCCAGTCAATTTCCTCCCCCCCCAAACTCTCTCATCCATGTCTTTATGGACCTTGCTTTGTGCACTGGTGTGCAGTCGTGTTGGAACAGGAAGGGGCCATCCCCAAACTGTTCCCACAAAGTTGGGAGCATGAAATTGTCTAAAATATCTTGGTATGCTAATGCCTTAAGAGTTCCCTTCACTGGAACTAAGGGGCCAAGCCCAACCCCTGAAAAACAGCCCCACACCATAATCCCCCCTTCACCAAACATTACACTTGGCACAATGCAGTCAGGTAAGCACCATTTGCCTGGCAATTGGCAAACCCAGACAAGTGAATCAGATTGCTAGACAGAGAAGCGTGATTCATCACTCCAGAGAACACATCTCCACTGCTCTAGTGTCTTGTGGCGGCGTGCTTTACACCACTGCATCCGACTCTTTGCATCGCACTTGGTGATGTAAGGCTTGGATGCAGCTGCTCGGGCCATGGAAACCTATCCATGAAGCTCTCTACACACTGTTGTTGTGCTAATCTGAAGGCCACATGAAGTTTGGAGGTCTTTAGCTATTGACTCTGCAGACAGTTGGCGATTTCTGCGCACTGTGCACTTTAGCATGCGCTGACCCCGCTCTGTCATTTTACATGGCCTACCACTTCGTGGCTGAGTTGCTGTTGTTCCCAGTTGCTTCCAATTTGTTATAATATCACTAACAGTTGAGTATGGAATATTTAGTAACAAGGATATTTCACGGATGGACTTATTGCACAGGTGGCAACCTATCACGGTACCACACTTGAATTCACTGAGCTCCTGAGAAAGACCCATTTTTTCACCAATGTTTGTAGAAGCAGCAATGCTTGATTTTATACACCTATGGCCATGGAAGTGATTGGCACACCTAAATCCAATGATTTGGAGGGGGGAGCATACTTTAGGCGATATGGTGTATTATTGAGTTAGCTTGTAGAAATGTACCTTTAAATGTGTTTCTAATATGAAGCACTAGGTGGCAGTGCATAGCAACAAAATATAAAGTAAATCAAATGTAAATGTAAATCAAACAGATATGCATTTTTGCCATGTTTATGCTGAAGTCCTGATGCATTTTGCACCTGTGAAATAAGGACATGTGACTGCAAAAAAGCACGAAAAATGCAATCACAGGTGGTTTTTAGATGCGTTTCTCATTCATGTAATTCATTTCTGGGTGAATTGCAACCAATGGTCGGGATCTTTTAAGAGCTTGCAGCCTGAGCAGGCTTTAGCCCATTGTCGGGTGAAAACTGCACTCCTGTGATCCATAGGAGTACAACCAAAAGAGCTTTCAAGGTTTGATCTAGGTCAGTGTCAGGGTTAGTATTAGGGTCAAATTAAAGGTCAAAGGTCAGGGTCAGTACATTTTGGATAGGATTTTAAAAACATTTTTTTAATTAGTATCCGTGTGTCAGTTAGTGTCAGTGTGTTTTAGATGAGATAAAAAAAACAAAATGTGCACTATTGTTTGTGCCCTACTACAGGTACAAACAATAAATAATATACACATATGTGATATCACTGTGATTGTCAGAAGCAGGAGAATTTATTTTGAATAATATATTTATTTTATCCATTTACCACCAAAAAAAAGCCCAATTTGTCCTAAAAAAACAAGGTATAATCCACCTGGATAGTAGTTGCTATGAAATGTACAGGTTTACTAATGCATGCCAAAGTTGAAAATTGTGTTCAGGCATTAAGGTTTTTTACCCTCAGTCACTAAGGGGTTAAAGTCATCCTCAGAATGTATTACCTTTTATGAGCTGTTCAGGTCTTGTACCTGGTAGAGTCCACATCGCCTGTGCCAAATGTCCAAAAATAGTGGCGTCTAATGTAGAAAACTTTGGTCCCATGATATACTTTTTATCACCTAAGGAAAATAAGTAATAAATGTGGTGATTTACTGCAAAATTAATACATTGTTATTGTACATACAGTGTGATTCAAAAAGGATGGTACAAAAGAAAAGATTTATTCATAATAGAATGAACTTGACACAACTGTATTAAGATGAAAAGACACATTAACTGTCCAGGTTTTATATCTGAACTACAAATGTTTGATGTCAGCCTTACTGGCTGAAAGGACAGATCATTAACATTCACCACTGTTATCACTCTCACTACAAGTTTTTTACTTTTGCACCATGACAGCAATGGTAAATGGACAATTGTTGAAAATTGAAAGGGGACTGTTGCCATGTAGGAAAGAATGTTTCAGCAATGTCGCTCTGGCCTCCACGATTGCCAGACCTATCACCCTGCAACTTCTTGCTGCTACCCCCCCCCCCCCCCCCCATGCCACAGGACCTGAATGACCGGAGACGACGCATCACAGAAGCAGTTGCATGTATAGGCATTCCTTTTCTTGTCATCTGGAGCACATAGTATGGTCCTAAACACAGACTGCATGCATTTTAGGCCTAAAAGTATTCATGGATTGGTCTGTGACCAAGTCCATCGTACCTACATCATGCAGAAGAAGTCTGGTGGAAATCCCATGCTCCCGTGTAACACATGCAGGGGCAGTCCCAATACTGATGACATCATCATGCTAGGCGGATGTCAATGTCATTCCGATGTGGTGAGCAATCCTGATGTACCCTGTCAGCTGGTGATTATATAATGGGTCTCTCCATGTAGTAAATGCTTCTCACAAGGTAAAAAAAAAAACAGTCCTGCCAGATTGTGAAATGTAGTGGTTCTATTATCAAATTTGACTACGCACATCACAAATGAAATCTGAATTTTCAGATCTCTGTTCTAAGCAAACCCAGGAGCTGGGAGAGAATATCTCTCTCTCTTTGCTGGAACATGGAGAGGTCCTGTACCATTTGGGAATTTCTAATTTCCTCCCTAGAGAATATAGAAAGAAGTGATTACCAAGAAGTCCAGCCAGAGATCTCATGTCTTTCTCCATCAGTTTATAAATCTCGTCCTCAGAGAAGCGTCCAATGCCTTGTCCATACATTTCGCGCTTCACAATGCCTTTTGTAAGGTGGCATAAAATCCATTTCAACAAATCACTAAATGGCCCAGGGATGGAGATCATTTTCTGAGTCTCATGTAAATTGTCCACCCATTGACAATAGGCTAAGGTCCTGCAGCAAAAAGAACAAATGGATTGTAATTCCTTTTCTTAGCATTTCATATAAACACTATGAACATTTCAAGGTTACCATACAAATATATAAGAAATAAAAGGAGATGATTCTATAAACAGTCAAAAATCAACATACTCAACAACCATCTTTTAGCTATGTTACCCACACACAGCAAGATTTACTGCAGAAAACAGGGTGACAAGATGTGAGCATTGTGTAACAGTTATTCTGTCTTTTGTAAAGTGCCTATGGTAGAACTCTATCAAGCTCTTCTTAAGAGCTCGTGACACATTTGGACATTGGGGGCAGTGGTCACAAGTTGCAGGCAGTCAGCTACAGTATATAGTCTGGACCACAGTTATAAAAGTACGTAATTGACAGACAATTATAGACTACAAGGAACTCATTTTTTTTTACTATATCTATGGCTAATGAGTTGTTTCCATATGTGTGCATTTATATATCTCTATAGCAGTATACTGTTAGAACAAGAGCAGAAAAGCAAGAACTAACTACATGAAGAACCTCATTAAAATAAATAAGTGCCAAGAGTCATGTAACACCTGGGTCCTGAAGGAAGGCCTAAATCCTCTACTGGGTTCAAAGATTTGATTGGAATTTCCATTTACAAGCTAAAAGCCATAAACTATAGTTTTGCTGTTAAAGAGAACTGCATTATGTGCAAGCTAATTTTCTAGATTAAGCTCAGCAAAAATAATTACTCTTAATTATTGGTGTGAGTATAGCTTTTGAATGTGGTATGTTTCTTCAATGTAAAACTCACCAGTAGAAATGTTCCTCCACCATTTTGGTGACTGCTCTGGAAATGGCTCTTTCATGAGGGTTGAGGTTTTTGTTCAGATTCACTCCAAGTTTCTCCTCCAAAAAGTCAATAATGAACTCGGTGCCAGACACTCTTGTGTGGTTATATTCTATCCAAGGCATTTTCCCCTGAGGTGACAGCTTCCCATCAAAGTAGTTCTAAAATACACACAAAGAACAAATTGACTTTAACTTTTATGTACATTCAGACAAAGAAATGTCTAAGGTCTGGAAAGATAGTACAATTGCATCAGGAAATGTGCTGACATGGCTATTAGATTATGGGCCTCTTGATAACTGCTCTTAGGTTTTATAACTGAATATCACATCTAACTTGTTTATGTAGTTTTGTGTTTTTTACAGTCGAAGCAGCTTACAGATCAGTACACAAGAGAAAAAAATTTTGCTTATCTTAGGCCCTTTTCACACGGGCAGACTGATGATACTCTACACCCGATCCTATCTGCTAAAATCAGACAGATGGGGATCCATTCCCCATCTGTCTACTGTAGTGGATCAGATGGCAGTCGGGTGTAAACAGACAGGCAGTCCGTTTACATCTAAGTGCCCATAGAGGACAACGGGCTGTATCTGTGTCCGCTCTCCATATGCAGAGGGGACATGGACAAGCCACAAGCTTGCTCAGCGAGGATCAGTGGACAGATTCCCCGCTTAGTAAGAAAATCCTGGCGGATTCTACCCCATGTGGAATGGTTCTTATGCCCAATACCCCTGTGACAACAATGGCGTGCCTGCCCTGTAGTACTTTATAGTTTATCATGAGTTGCCTGTATACTAGTCCTAAGTTAAACATGTTGAAAAAGACTATCTGAGGAATTCATAAAGAGTGTTATAGACACTCAAAAGAAGACAGGTACATGAATCTGTCCATGTCAGCACTGAGAAAGGTGTGTCCTTCCTCAGTGCACTCCCACCCTCCCCTGCCACTGCACCCATCACACTGACTAGCCAAGGAAGTGGGTGTAGCCTGATGGGGAATTGAGAGAGTAATTCTGCTTCAATGATGGCCTTGGAATCCATCCACTGCCGTGCACCATCAATCACAGGCAAGGAGGTCTGATGGAAAACTAGTCTCAGAATTCCCCATCAGATGCAGCGGCTGTGAATTAGAGTTGTTGGGTGGGCAGAGTCAGAAGGGGCATTCCAAGACTAGTTCCTCATCAGGTCTGCCTTGCCTGTGATTGCCAGTGACTACTGGACTGACAATCATCTATGGTATCTGCCCGTTGCCATCCGCTGTCAATCACAGGCAAAGCAGACCTGATGCGGAACTAGTCTCTCAGAGTTTCCCATCAAGCTCCATTGTAAATTCAATGTGACTTGACTATTGGCTGCAGGAATGTGAGCAGACTTCATCCTAGCAACCAATGAAGTAAATATAAAACACATGCAAACTATTTATTGTATAATTTTTTTTCTATTTTACTTTAATAAAGTAGTGAACATACAGTGCAACCCCCTCCCCACCACCACCACCATGCCAACATTGAGTCGGTCTTAATTAATTTGCTTAATTAATTATTTTAGAATCTCTCACAGCCATAGTGACAGATTCAAAAAGGGGCAGTAGTAAAAGCTACCTGAACCTGGTGCAGGTTTCAGAACTGTACCAAAACTGGTGCAAGGCTTTCATGAATTAGATGCAAGCCATAGTAAAGGAGACATACCACCAGAAAAGTGACATTACTGCTTTATTGAGTTCCCCTGTATACAGTATAGTCTCTTTAATAAACTGAATTGATTGATGATGCAACACATTGGGCTCATATACTGTTATCATTTAAAATCTAACCATAGTAAATTTTAATTCTTTAGCTTTGGATGATTCGGGATGAGTTAAAATTTCTGTTAGGTGTGTTTTTTTAAAAATCAACAATGGCATCCACCCCAATCACCATATAGCAGTACACAAACTGAGAGCAAACTTATCTGAAGACTGCCTGTTCCTTAAAAGATGCATCAACACACCGGAAACCCGCCCCACTTTTGCTAGTTTCAAACTCATCAGAGTGAATTCCAAAACTGTCTTTTTTTTTTTTTTTTATTTGGTGATGACACACTTCAACTCTTTAGCAGTGTCACTGGGTCTAACTAAACTAAACAAGGTCCTAGGCAGGCATTTAACAGCTTTGCCCCCTCACTCTTCAAGCCACCTTGTATATAATGTATGCCCTATTCACATATTCCAAAACTATCAGAAAAAATAACATTATGTGCTTAAACATTTACTTAGGACCCCAAAAACTGTATATATTCTGAAAGCAGAAGATCTATAGAATAAATAGAATAATAGACAGTAGTCCCAATTTTGCATGTTGCATACGGTGAACAAAATTTTCAAAATGTACTTCACCAGACTTTGGTGTTGCTGGTGACTCCCTTGGTCCATCATCTGCTGGTGAGTTCCCTCCCCTAATCCCCATTAGTAGCAAGACAACAAATAATCCATATTATTACCTACTGTTGAGAAACTCCATTTTCTTGGTCTCTATGTCTGTACTCTCCGTTGGATCTTACCTATCTCACCATACCTTCAGTGACACTTACTATTATATTACTACTACTCTTTTTCTTTTTCCATCGCAGTCCCCCAAGGTTCTGTCCTTGGACATCTCTTATTCTCAATTTACACCTCCTCCCTGGGTCAGCTGATAGCTTTCTATGGCTACCAATTCAATTTCTTTGCTGATGACACCCAAATCTATCTTTATACCCCTCAGTTCACCCCATAAGTTTCCTTGTGTATCACTAATTTACTAACAGACATATCAATATGGATGTCATATTACTTTCTCAAACTCAATCTATCCAAAACTGAGCTTTTATTATTTCCTCCCCCACGTGCCCCTTCCCCAGATTTCTCTGTCAAGATCAATGGCACAACTATCAATCCATCCCCAATGCCAGGGTGCTAGGGGAAACCCTGGACTCTGAACTCCTTTGGGCCCACATCCAATTGCTGACCAAATCATGCTGCCTCAACCTCCTCAATATCTCCAGAATACGCCCTTTTTTAACCAAAAGCACCACAAAGCTTCTAATTCACTCCCTGGTTATCTCTCTACTGCATCTACCTCCTCATTGGTTTGCCTTTACATAGGTTATCCCCGCTTCAGTCCATCATGAATGCTGTCACCAGAATCATCCACCTTACCAACCGTTCTGTGTCTGCTACTCCTCTCTGCTAGTCTCTCCATTGACTTCCGCTCACTCAACAAATAAAATACTAACAACAACTGACAAAGACATCCACAACTCTGCCCCCAGCTACAGCATTAATCTGGTCTCAAAATACCAACCAAACAACTCTCCTCAGTCCTCCCAAGACCTCCTGCTTTCTAGTACCCTTGTCACCTCCTCTCATGCTTGCTTCCAGAACTTCTCCCGAACCTCTCCCATCCTATAGAACTCCTTGCCCCAATCTGTCCGACTATCTTCTAATCTATCTATCTTTAGACAATCCCTGAAAACCCATCTCTTTAAAGTAGCCTATCCTGCTTCTAACTAATATACTGTGTTTTTACTTTCTCCATCAGCTCATCCCCCACAATTACCTTTTGTATCACTTGACCCTCCTTCTTTGATTCTAAGCTCTAACAAGCAGGGCCTTCTGATTCCTCCAGTACTGAATTGTATTTTAACTGTACTGCCTGCCTTTATTTTGAAAAGCACTGCGCAAATTGTTGGCGTTCTATAAATCCTGTATAATAATAATAATACCACAAAAAAGTCTACATAAGGCAAGAGCTGCGGGACCAGGTAGACCTTGTGAAATTGGAAAGTGACACCCAGGGGCGGACTGACAACTCATGGGGCCCCCGGGCAATAGGGGATCATGGGGCCCCCGTGTCCTTGCCCAAACTCAAAAAAGCCTATGAAAAAGGTACCAGGGGCATCTCATGGGGCCCCCTACTGACCGAGTTTCAAAATGGTCAGTCCACCCCTGGTGACAACATCAGTAACCCAGAACACAGCCAGCTGCAGACACACCCCTCCCCTCCCTACTCCTGCTCTCAGCCAATCACAGACATGTTGCTAAGGCAGATTACCCAGAAGCTGCCCAGGCCGGGGAAACCAATATTCAAGTAGGAAAGAAATCAGGGCACATTCTTTTAACGGGAGATAAAATAAAAGATGTTTTTCTCTCAGGAACAGCCCGATAAAATTGTGACTGTCCCCAGAACCGGAGACATCTGGTTACCCTGATGTTGCACAATAATTGTACTAAAACTTATGCTGTGCAGACTTGCATGTCATTGCAAGAACTGCCGCAGCATACAACTATAACTGGTAAATAAATTGGTATAAAATATCAAGTTCATCTGCTAAGCTCAAAAACATATTGGCATCTGCATTATTTGTAGAGCTGTGTATAAATATATTATCGGGTAATTGAGGCTTATGGTTGGGTACCTAGTTCTAATGTCAGCTTTGCATTCAAAATCATGTAAAATGATCTAAGAATTCCCTAAAAAAATATATCTTCTTACCCATAGCAATCTCGTGCTCTGTATTACTGCATCATTTATTATTCATGGACACAGATACATCAGAAAGTCCATTAGCTACTCTCTTGTTGTTTTCATAGATTTATTTGATATATGGAAATAACACAGTGTGGATGCCAATGTCGGTGTCTAGCTGTTTGGTACATATCCTGTTTTTCTGAGTTCTTTAAATCAAAGAAATTTTAAGAATTTAGATGTTCAGAAAATACATCTATTGTTATCTTTATGGTACATTTAGCAAAACCTAAATAAGATGATTTTCAGAGTAAGTTTTGTAAATCATAAGAGTATGTGTTCCTAAAAGCAAAGGTAATCTGTATATAGGCCACGTACATAACCCTGTTTATCCATTTTGCATTCAATTTTAAGGACAGTTTTCAAAGATAAACAAATGTCTATAAACAGTACTTCTAGGTGAAGGACCACATACTGTAAACTTGTCCCTAAAGCTCCTAATGGCTTCAGGTCTGATTCCTGCTTGCTTTCCTATGTGTATCTGCTCATTATTTAAAGGGTAACTTCACTTTTGTTGGAAAAAAAGTAGCAAATAAAAATAAATAATATAAAATGTATGATCATTACACCAGTTATATTGTAATTGAATGTTATTAAAAATCACCTTTCCTTTTTAACCACTTGCCTACCAGGCACTTATACCCCCTTCCTTACCAGGCCAATTTTCAGCTTTCAGCAGCGCTGCCGCACTTTGATTGACAATTGCGCGGTCATGCAACATTGTACCCATATGAAATTTTGATCATTTTTTTCTCACAAATAGAGCTTTCTTTTGGTGGTATTTAATCGCCACTGGGCGCTTTACTTTTTGCGCTATAAATTAAAAAAAGTGCAAAAAATTTGAAAAAAAAAAAAAAAGTTTATTTGTTTCTTTTATAAAATTTTTCAAACAGGTATTTTTTCTCCTTCACTGATTTGCGTTGATGAGGCGGCACTGATAGGCGGCACTGATGGGCACTGATAGGCAGCACTAAAGGGCACTGATAGGCAGTCCAATGAGGTGGCACGGATAGGCGGCACTGATAGACAGCACTAATTAGGGGTCACGGATAGGCGGCACTGATATGCAGCACTGATAGGCGGCACTGATAGGTGACACTGATGATGGGTACTGATAGACGGCACTGACTGGCATCACTTCTGGGCACTGACTGGCGGCACTGACTGGCACAACCCCTGGGCACTGACTGGTGGCACTGACTGGCAGCACTGCTGGGCTGCACTGGTGGGTGGCACTGGTGGGCAGCACTGGTGGGTGGGCACAGGTGGGTGGCACTGGTGGGCACACAGGTGGGTGGCACTGGTGGGCACAGGTGGGTGGGCACAGGTGGGTGGCACTGCTGGGCACATGTAGGTGGCACTTCTGGGCACAGGTAGGTGGCACTGCAGAGTGGCACAGGTGGGGGCACTGCTGGGCACAGGTGGGGGCACTGCTGGGCACAGGTGGGGGCACTGCTGGGAATGGGTGGGCGGGGCTAGTGGGCGCACTGCTGGGCGGGAACTTGCGGGTGTCACTGCTGGGCACCGATCATCAGGGCACTGATCATCAGTGCCCTGATGATCGGTGCCGATCCCCGCTCTGACAACTGCCGGTTCTCGGCAGTACTTTCCTCACGATCTGACAGCGTGAGGAAAGTGCAGCCGAGAAGCGGCACTTGCATTTCCCTGTGATCAGCGTGTCATTGGACACCGCTGATCACGTGGTAAAAGGCAGGTGGGATCGGCCTTTCACCACATCACGTGATCAGCTGTGTCCGTAGGACACAGCGATCACGGAGATCGCCGGGTGCGGGCCCCCTGGGGCGCGCAAGAGAGCGCGTTCTGGGAGGACGTCATATGACGTCCACTCAGAACTGGCCGGCCGCGGTGAAGCCGTCATTCGGCTATGCGCGGTCGGCAAGAGGTTAATATGCAGATGGTATACGGAGCACCCCCCAGAAATTTAATTTACTGCTTGTGGGATTAGCTCAGAGATTTTCCCTAAAGTCTACATTAAGATACAAATCAGATTTGCAGCATCCCTTGCAACAAAAATGTCATTTTTGGTGAGATACTCCCAAAGGGAAAACATGTCTAAAGGGATGCGGGCCCCGCCAATTTCCTCATTAGAACCTTGCAGGTGCAGCAGCCCAAAGAAACCAACCAAAATTCATCTTTCACTTATCTGATTCCAGGAAACTGACATAGTTTTGCTTGCTTTGTTTGCTTCTCTTTACACTTCAGTGATCTCTGTACTATTATTTTAATAATCTTGTATGTCTTAAATTGTATATTGCTAGCTTTAGCCCTGGTTCACACAAAATGCTATTTAAAACTGGTGCAATTTGGTACCATTTAAAGTGCAACTTCAAAGTGGCACAGGATATAAACACATGTGCGATTTCAGTGCCATTTACCTTATAGTCCAAGTGGAGAAAAAGTAATGCAGGAACTATTTTTCAAATTGCAGTCCTTGAAATTGCACCTATTAAGTGCCATAGAAATACATTAGATGCGACTTCAGGTGTGATTTTGTAAATCGCATGTCACACCTGAAATCACAGCTGTGTGAACCAGGGCTATATTTAGTTGTATTAAACTCTTTTTTTTTCTTTTCTTCAATTGTTTCCTGGTTTCTGGCCTAGGACAAAATGATGTCATACATTACAGGCGTCTTCAGGGGCATTTTTGTCTCTTTCATCTGGAGGAGAGAGGAGGGGTTTTCTCAGCTAAGCACACTCACCTGCCTGCATGCTTGATCTAAGGGCACAGGGATTCAAGGAATTAAATGCTACATGAATCATCTGCCCTTAATCAAGATAGCAGCAGGTGGTGAGGTGTTTTTCAAAGTGATTTCTCAACACAATAAAGCATGGAAGATGGGTGAGTTTGCTTTGAGTATTAAAAATGCTACATGAATCATCTGCCCTTAATCAAGATGGAAGCAGGTGGTGGGTTGTTTTTCAAAGTGATTTTTCAACACAATAAAGCATGGAAGATGTGTGAGTTTACTTTGAGTATTAAAAATAGTACAAGAATCATTTGCCCTTAATCAAGATGGCAGCAGGTGTTCGTTTTTCAAAGTGATTCCTCAACACAATAAAGCATGGAAGATGAGCGAGTTTGCTTTGATTATTAAAAATGATTTATACAGCCCTTTCAGTTTGTGGTGCTCACCTACAGTTAGATTCCATTTTAAAGTACACTGCTCAAAAAAATTAAAGGAATGCTTTGAAAACACATCAGATCTCAATGGGGAAAAATATCATGCTGAATATCTATACTGATATGGACTGGGTAATGTGTTAGGAATGTAAGGATGCTCCATCGTTTGATGGAAATGAAAATTATCAACCTACAGAGGACTGAATTCAAAGACACCTGCAAATCAAAGTGTAAAAATGAAGCAGCAGACTAGTCCATGTTGCTGAAATTTAATTGCAGCAACTCAAAATGGTACTCAGTAGTTTGTATGGCCCCCACGTGTTTGTATGCATGTCTGGCAACATCGGGGCATGCTCCTAATGAGATGACAGATGGTGTCCTGGGGTATTTCCTCTCAGATCTGGACCAGGGCTTCACTGAGCTCCTGGACAGTCTGAGGTGAAACCTGGCAGCATCGGATGGACCAAAACATGATATTCCAGAGGTGTTCTATTGGATTTAGGTCAGGCGTGGGGGTCATTCAATGGTATCAATTCCTTCTTCCTCCAGGAACTGCCTGCATACTCTCAGCTCATGAGGCTGGGCGTTGCCGTGCACTCGGAGGAACCCAGGACCTACTGCACCAGTGTGGGGTCTGACAACGGGTCCAAGGATTTCACCCTGATACCTAATTCCAGTCAGGGTGCCATTGTCTACTCTGTAGAGGTCTGTGCGTCCCTCCATGGACATGCCTCCCCAGACGATCAGTGACACACAACCAAAACGGTCATGCTGAACGATGTTACAGGCAGCATAACATTTTCCACAGCTTCTCCAGACCCTTTTACATCTGGCAATGGCACGTATTGATGTGCCATCCTGGTGAAGTTGGACTGCCTGTGCAACCTCTGTAGGTCCAGGTATCGCCTCATGCTACCAGTAGTGACACTAACCCTAGCCAAATGCAAAACTAGTGAAAAACAGTCAGAAAAGTTGAGTAGGCAAACAAATGTCAGTGGCCTCCACCTGTAAAATCATTCCTGTTTTGAGGGTCATCTCATTGTTGCCCATCTAGTGCATCATTGTTAATTTCATTAATACCAAAGAAGCTGAAACTGATTAACAACCCCCTCTGCTACTTAACTGACCACATAAAATCCCAGGAGGTTAACTGACTTGATGCTATACTCTGATTAAAAAGTGTTCCTTCAATTTTTTTTTTTTGAGCAGTGTATATGTAGACCCAAAACCAAAAATGTACTACATTGTAGTGTACTATTCCTTGCTGTGGTGGCTGCATTTGCTTTTTTCAAGCTTCTTTTCCTTATATTCCCCCCTGGATAGCTATATTACTCCTCTGTTGTATTTATGAAGGAAGCCATGGTTTGCACTTTAGGCTGCTCTACTGATATGGACTACAAACATGTCCGTATCTCTTCATTTCCATTACATGGAAGGCAGGGTAACATTCGCACTGACCCGATTGCACTGACAGTCGGATCGGGTCTGCCTGTCAGTTTTTCAGGCAGATCCGATCGGACCATCCATAGTCCTCTATGGACCGACAGGTGTCAGCAGACACCGGAATCCGATCCGATCTTGTACGCTAAGAACAGATGGATGGGGATTCTTTCCTCATCCCTCCAGTGGATTGGATGGGATGACAGTTGGGTGGAAACGGACCCCGGGCTGTGTCTGTGTCCACTCTGCAGCTGGGGCACCTTTGGGTACCTCAAGAAGAGTAGCAATGCAGCTTGTATAGTGTGCCACTGTGAACAGTGGGTGTGGCAATTAACTGTGGGAGGGGATTAAAGGGCAGTGGATGGCATTGGTCAGCAGTGGATGGTGTCAGTAGGGCAGAGGTTGGTGTCTGTAGGGCAGTGGATGGTGTCAGTCAGTAGAGCAGTGGAACATGCTAGTAGGGCAGTGGACAGTGTCAGTAGGGCAGTGGATGGTTTCAGCAAGGCACAGGTTGGTGTCAGTATGGCACAAGTTAGTGTCAGTAGAGCAGTAGATGGTGTGAGTAGTTATTGATTTTTATTGATTTTATTTATATTATATTTTTATATTTATTTATTTATTCTTATTTTTTACAATATTAATTTTTAATATTTTTTACCAGCCCTTTTTTGGGACCATTAGTGAAATATTAGGGGTCTAAACACCCTTCTGCTGTCTCGTTTTTGAGACAGAGAAAGGAAATGAGGACAATCCTCAATCCCTTTCTCTGTAGCCTCACCTGCACTGCAGATTAAATGAGCAGGAAGCTCTTTATGCTTCAGCTATGAATGAACACAGTGAGTGATCGCTAACGCTCACTCACTATGTTCGCTCACTAAATGACATATTTACGCTTCCTATTATCCATCCTGAAACATCCCCAGCAGCAGCCAGTGGGAGAAGAAAAGAGGGGAGCTGACAGCGATGTGTGTGTGTGGGGGGGGGGGACCAGGGTAGCAAACTGGGGCCTGGGGGCAACAGAAGGAAGTGGAAACTGCTGGACAGGAGGGGGGGGGGGCTTTACTAGAACTGATGGGCTGTATTTATCTCCTGCAGCAGCTGAATGCTGGATTGAGGCAAAGAAGGAGGAGTAGCTGTCGCAGGTGGAAAATACAGCCCAATGGTTCTAGAATGCCACCCTCCTGTCCAGTGGACCATGGACAGCCACTGTCCAGACTCTGAATAATGTGTCTGGGTTTCAGGTGGACTGAAACCCAGAGGTATGATTCAAAACTTGGTTTGTCTGGGTGAATCTTGGACAGGTTGCATCTCCCCCTAAAATTACCCATTCAAGCAGCAGCTTAGTATAACCTCAACCTTTAGTCTTTCAGAACCACTACTACCACAAAAATGACTTCTTCAGAGTGAGATGTAATGTAAACATGAAGATTGTACAATCAGAGTCAACGGCGCAGGCACAGAATGTCTCAGCTCATATAGACACAAGCAGCTGTATGTTTGAGCAGGGGTGGACTGACAACTCATGGGGCCCCCGGGCAATAGGGGATCATGGGGCCCCTGTGTCCTTGCCCAAACTCAAAAAAGCCTATGAAAAAGGTACCAGGGGCATCTCATGGGGCCCCCTACCGACCCCGGGCCCTCAGGCAGTGCCCGAGTTTCCAAATGGTCAGTCCGCCCCCTGTTTGAGTTCAGACGCAGTACAGTCAACTCTTACATGGGATCTTGGTGACAGCTAGTTGGGTTGCTACCATCTCAAGGGAAGGGAAGCAATCATTCCCTCATAGGAAGTCCTCTATATGAATAATGTTTATATTTATTTTGATAGGAACCAGATGCAATAGGGTAGTTCTATCCCCACCTAATCCATCCTTCTGCCTGCTTTTTTTTAAGCCATTTTTTTTACTTTAGGAAGCCATATTTTACTTTAGAAATGCAGTTGACAACAATAGAAAAGGGACAACTCAGAAAATGTTTCTTGCAGTGATGATCTCAGTCCCAACCACGGCACCACCTGCCTGGAGTTTACATGTTCTCCCTGTGCCTGCGTGGGTTTCCTCCGGATATTCTGGTTTCCTCCCACATTCCAGAGACATGCTGGTAGGTTAATTGGTTCCTGCTTAAATTAGCCCTAGTGTGTGTATGTATGAATGTGAGTTAGGGACCTTGGATTGTACGATCCTTGAAAGTTAGGGACTGATATGAACGTACAATATATATACATGTAAAATGCTGCATAAATTGACGGCGCTATATAAGTACATGAAATAAATAAAGCTCCAAACTCCTAAAAATTGTCTTGGCTCTGTACACAGAGGCACAGTTATGTTCAAACAGAAGATGGCCTTTACATACCGTAAGTAGACAGGCGGTCAGGTTTCCACCAACTTTTAGCCATAGAACTTCATTGGAAGTTTACTTGTATCTCCTAGATTGTAAGCTCGAAAGAGTAGGGCCCTCTAACCCCTCGTGTGCTGATTGTAGTTGCTGTGCTGTTTCATGTATTGTCCCCCCCTCTATTGTACAGAGCTGAGCAAACCCTTTGGCGCTATATAAACTCGATGTAATGTAATATACTGCTAAAGCTTATACTGTTGCAGAGTATTCACGTAGCTCAATTAAATCTTATGTCAAGAGAAAGACAAAAGTGTAGATGCTGAAAAATAGTATCATTTTTAGCTGCACACAATCTTTCCTTGTGAATTGATCAAATATTGACTCCACTTAAAGTGTAACTTCACTCTCTCAATCAAATGACTGTTTTTAATCCTTATGCTGCTAGAATTAGTAAATAGATAGGAAAGTATATCATATAAACATACTTGTTTTAACCTTTTTTTACATTTCTTGAGTTACTTTCTAGTTTCCAGGCCTAGACAAATGATTTCATACATCCCAGGAGTCTTAAGGAGGGGAGGGAGGATTCTCAGCTCAGCGTATACCTGAGCTAAGGGCAGATTGATTCCATGATGTAAATGATACATAAATCATCTGCCCCTACTCAAGATGGCCACTGCCAGAAATGCTAGAGGTGTTTTTCAAAGGGATTTCTAAGCATAATAAAGCATGGAGACATGGATGGATGCGTTTGCATTGAATATTAAAAATGAATTAAATAGCATATTTGGTTTGTGGTGCTCTGATTCAGTGCAGTTCCACTTTAAACCAAAAATGTAGTTGTCAAAAGAAGGTAAATAAGAAACTGTGCGTAAATAATTAGATTTGCAACCAATCCATGAAAACCTTGCATAGTGAAATTGTGTTTGTCGTTTGTCCCCGCTTTACTGCTCTCTCACTGTGGTCACCAATGGGGTGGGCTTACTATAAGCAAATTGCAGTTGTAGTCGGCAAGTGCACTTCCCCAGAGCTTAGTAAATGTGGTAAAGTTCTACTGATTTCATTGTCAGTTTGATTTTTCCTGAACCTTATTGGGAATTCTTTACAAAATGAAGCTTCACCACATTACATTTACTAAGGAAAATGAGTGCAACTGTACTTGCAGAGTGCACAGTCTATTTGCCTTTCGTCAACCCCAGTGTGTTGGCAAAATTACTATTGATACTATGTTCACATTTGTGCGGCCTGCGTTCTGCAGGTAGGCAGACAGATCAAGCGATGTGCAGTGACTCTCTCATTAGCTCAGAATCAGCAATGAGAAAAAGGCCAATTTTAGTGCAAATGAAATGGCACGTTCCACTTACCACAAGAAAATCAGCCAATGGTTGATCAACGTATTCAGACAGGAGGGAGCAGGTCCTCGCTGTTAGAATAAAGTAGTGTAGCCAGGGACTTCCCTACAATCACTTTACTTGTGAGAATTCAGGAATATGCAGGGCCAGTGTTTCCACTACTGTAGGCTAACTAGGCAGCTTCCTAGGGCACATTGCCAGCTAGGGGCACCTGGGAGCAGCATAGGCCAGCACTCTCTCTCTCTATGGGACAAGAGAACGATCCTCCAGCTGAGGGGAGGGGCGGCAGAGAGGATTAGAGTACAGAGAAGAGTAGAGAAAGATGCCAGGTGTCTGGGGCCAGTGTAGCAGCTGAGCTTCCGCTCCTTCCAGTGTTCCTCTCAGACTCAGTCCCTTACTGCAAGCTGGCTGGTGGCTGCTGATCACTGTTGTGTCCCAGCCCTTCTCTTCTCATTCATCAGCGGAGGTGGAGCAGCACCTGTGGAGGAAGGTAATGTCTGATTCTGATGTCTCGTGTCTGTGTGACTGTGACCTGGCTGGCCTGCCATCCATCAAATGTGCAATATATCATTGAGTGATGACATCATCACGATCCCAAAGCCTGCTCTTCTAGTGCCTGCTGGGCCTGTTGATCTGTGGCAGTGTTGGTGGTGGTGTGTTGTGTCGGATCTGTGCAATGTGTCAGTGAGTGATGACATCATCACAATTCCAAAGCCAGCTCTTCTAGTGCCTGCTCACTTCAGGTGTGTGTGTGTGGGCTGGGCTGCCTTTTGTCACAGCGTTTTATCTCCCCCCATTACCTGGGAAATTCCAGCCTGGGTTCTAATAATATTGGTGCTGGTGGCATCTTATGGAACTTAATTTTGCAAATTAAAAGAATTTTTTTTTTTGGGGGGGGGGGGTTGGGGGCACAAGTAGCTGGTCTTGCCTAGGGCACAAAATAGTCTATCTAGCACCAGCCCTGAGAATATTTGAGGTTCAACCCGCTGGATCAACAAAACAAACCTCAGTGCATACTCTGTTTTAGTAAGCCTTGCTGTAGACACTACAGTAAAATTTGCAAAACAAATCAATAGCCACTTTGCTCAATATTCATTCCAAGGATTACTATGTGCCACTAAAAGCATTAGAGAAAGAGATAGTGATGATAATCACCTTGCAGTCAGTACACAAATATTTCAGGATGTAACAGCAAAGAACCTGACAATAGGACACATCCTACCAGGTGTGATTCTTGTTAATTTTTGGTGGCAATGAAAGCAGGCTGTCTCTTCAGCTTATATGGCATATTACACTATGACTATACTATCTGGAGAAAAACATTTTAGTTTTTCTGGTAACTGGTAGAGAACATTTAATGATTTTGTTAACAAGGGGCTCTTGAACAAATAGATAATTGTCTTATTACTATTACTTATGGTTTTATTTTATTAGGTAAAGTATTGGAGTGGGCAGCACAGTGGTTTCCGCCTGGCAGTACTGGGGTCGTTGGTTTGAATCCCAACCAGGGACGGACTGACAACTCATGGGGCCCCCCGGGCAATAGGGGATCATGGGGCCCCTGTGTCCTTGCCCAAACTCAAAAAAGCCTATGAAAAAGGTACCAGGGGCATCTCATGGGGCCCCCTACTGACCCCGGGCCCTTGGGCAGTGCCTGAGTTTCCAAATGGTCAGTCCGACCCTGATCCCAACCACAACACTACCTGCATGGAGTTTGTATGTTCTCCCTGTGCTTGCAAGGGTTTCCTCCAGGTACTCCAGTTTCCACCCACACTACAAAGACAAACTCATAGGTTAACTGACTCCTGTCTAAATTGGCCCTAGTATGTGTATGTGTGAAAGGAGTTATGGATCTTAGATTATAACCTACTTGAGGACAGGGACTGATGTGAATGTACAATATATATGTAAAGCACTGCAAAAATTGTTGGCATAGCTGTAATAAATGAAAAGTGAATAAATACTTAGCTAAATCTCTCCTAGGACTTTGGGATGTATGTATGACAAATATGCAGAGCTATTCAGCCTGAGAAACTGCATGTGCATTTGTTCTCTTTGAATCAAATATTATTAGGCTCTCCAGGACGTTCTCTCCAGGATAAATATATATATAAACCTACGCTAATAAGAACCACAATAGATAATCAATAATCAAAAATGAGGTGTAAAACATAGAACAGCTGAACACAAAAACCCTGATACTAGGCAATCAACAATAAATACATAAAAGTGCAGCGCTTAAAAAGTTACAAATAATCATAAGAAAACAGTGAAAAATGTGTCAAAAAAATAGTCAATCCAAAAATAAAAGAAAAGAAAATTCCCAGAGGCTGTGGTGAAACAAAAGAAATCCAAGGACAGTTGTCGTGTCACCAACCACTACTACAGAAGACTTACCAGAAAAGCATGACCCCCTGTTTAGACTGGTCAATCACGATCTGTTAAACAATCCAAACAGCTGGTCACTCAAATCCTCCTCCAGATAACCAAAACAGCAGATATGGATCTTCCAAACAATGGACCTTAATTAGGGTTGCTAAACCATTCAGGATAAGGCTTGGACTCATAGTGGAAAACATGCAAAGAAAGAACACTCCACATAGTGTAAAATCACAATCACAACATTTATTTAAAGTATGGTTGCACTCACATGTAAGCAAACATCATTAAGCATTGATTGGCAAAAAAAATCCAAATTTTCCCATTTCCAAAATGGCCACCAGCTGGTCACGCATGCACAGTAGCGTGTGCGTAACATATTTTTCACTGTTTTCTTATGATTATTTGTAACTTGTTAAGTGCTGCACTTTTATGTTCTCTCCAGGTCGAATATTATTCATTCATAGTAGAAGCAGAAGATAAATATTCACTTTTGATCAAATATTCACACATAACCAATGTACATACACTTTCACAGAACAAATAGCTCTGCAAATATTTTTATAAATACACCTCTTTGTTTTTATAACAATTATTACTTAGTGGTCTGTAGCTGCTTGTGCAGTTTATATCTAATTATAACGTATGTTTAGAGAGCAAGCAATCTGATGTTATGAATACATTACATTAGCTTTGCAATTTACCTGATATGGTAAGTCAGCCATTCTTAGGTATGTTTCCATTTTAAGACAGAATGGAGATAAACTAGGAACACCATTGTTTGGCCGCGAAAACTGGTGGAATATAATGGCATCTTTGGAATCAACTTCTTGCTCCTTCCTGCAAACACAAACAGATGCATAGTATGTAATGTTATTATTTATTACATTAATCATTATGAATCTTCTGCTTTTACATGTCATAAACTACTTGCTAAAGCATTCAGTCTGTCACTGGATTTTTTTTTAAATGTATAGAAAATGTATAAGCGAGCGCTAAGAAATTATATATATATATATATATATATATAAAAGAAAATAATAAACTATTTCCTGATATGAGAATAGCTGCTAGCACTCAGGATATCGGCAACAGTCTCAAAATCAACGTATGAAATACAAGTCTAGCACTGCACTTATATTTCATACGTTGATTTTTTTTTTTTTTTTATTAAAGCTGCAACTGTCTTTTTAACCACTTGCCCTCCAGAAGATTTACCCCCCTTCCTGACCAGGCCATTTTTTTGCATTATGGCACTGCATTACTTTAGCTGACAATTGCACGGTCATGCAACGCTGCACCCAAATTAAATTTACGTCCTATTTCTTTTGGTGGTATTTGATCGCCTGTGCATTTTTTATTTTTTGTGCTATAAAGAAAAGACCGACAATTATGAGAAAAAAACAATATTTTTTGTTATTAAACATGCCCAATAAAAAAATTTAAAAAATCAAATTCCGTCATAAATTTAGGCCAAAATGTATTCTGCTACATATATTTGCTAAAAAAAAATCCCAATATGTGTAAAATAATTAGTTTACGTGAAAGCTATAGTGTTTACAAATACACTATATACTGTATACTGGGATTTTTAAATTTTTACATTTTTTTAACTAGTAACGGTGGCAATCAGTGACTTATAGCGGGACTGAGGCAAGCAATCTGACACTGGGGGGAACTGACCCAGTGACACCAATACAGTGAGCAGTGCTAATAAAAAGCACTGACACTGTACTAATGGCACTGGGTAGAAAGGGGTTAACATGTGGGGCGATCAAAGGGTTAACTGTGTGCTGTTTTACTGTGTGCTGTGTTAGTGATTTCAACTGTAAGCACACTGCTTTGTATGGCTCTGCTATGCACAGCCATACAAAGCAGTGTACATGAGCTGACAGGGGAGAGAACTGTCTTGTTTACATACAGTACTCTCCCTCCATTGATAATGCTTGACAATCACCGGATACCGGCGAGTAATCACCGGCCGGGACCCGGTGATTGACAGCAGAGGCCGTGAATAGCGGCGCAGGTAGGGCATGTGCGTGTCCCCTACCCGGCGATGCAAAATCATGTATATGTATGTAATTTTGCGCACCCCTGCCATCCTGTAGCAATATCTGCTATAGGGCGGCCGAAAGCGGTTAAGTAAAATGCATTCTAGAACCAAACATTATTGCTATTTAAATGCTGTTTTATAAATAAAAAAAAGTCCATGTAAGAGAGAGACTTAATGTAACACTAAACATTATCCTTATTCTCCAAATATGCTTGGGGTACCTCCACTACTTAACAGTCAATGTTGATAGGGGAATGCCTCCTACAGTGATATTGGGTTTTCCTGCAGGGGGGGAGGATGAGCAGGGAGCCTTCCTAGCAGAAAGAACATAATGGTTAATGCTAGCAGCTATAGTCACTTGCAGTAATAGAATGCCAATCGACTTGGGTACATTCAGCTTGCCCATAAATGGATGGATTCACTGCTGGTCCCTGTTGAACCGGCCAAATTTCGATCCATTTATGGCTCGCCTTTTTGGCCCTGCAATCTATTTTTCATTAAATGATTTTTTACTGTATTTTTCAGCCTCCCTGTATTGTCCTTCATGAAATGATCAGTGCACTTTAGCTGTGGTCGTGTGCACAGTGCTTTGCATACTACAAACACCATAGTCTATAGTCCATCTCAACAGCCAGCAAAAGAGGGTGCCTATGTTCCTACATTCAGTGGGACCATAGAGAACGAATGTAGAAAACCTCTAGCAGAAAGTCAGATCACAGCACCAAAAATAAAAAAAAAAAGATTTGGAGATTTTGTGGAGGCTGTCCTCTTTCCCCCTCCTCTACGACATTTGGCACAATAAAATTTCTTTGGGGAGGGGGTACCCAGTTTTAGGTATGCGCTCATACTTTGGCTCAAAGCCATCTGGGACATATCACAGGCCCCAGAAGACTGCAGAACCTTTCACAGAGCGCAGCGTGGCTCATACATACACAAAGGAAAGCTGACTGTGAGGAGTCACAGCCAGCTACCCTTAGTAAACATGACAGCACCAGGGACCTTGAAGACCCACAAAAAACCAGCCTGGGTGATGACAGCACTGGATCCCTGGACAGGTAAGTGTTTTTTTATTAGAACTTAGCAGGTACAGTATTTGTAGGTGCTGTTGTTTTCTTTTTAGGGTGAAGATTCTCTTTAAGAATACACAGTTGAATTTTGAATTTTTTAAACCAGAGTTTAGTAGCACTTTAAAGTGATTGTAAACCTCAGACAAGAAATATGAACAAAGCATAGCCCTCTATACTGTGTACTTGTCTCAGTTAAGTCAATTAAGAGCACTAAGTGTCATTTCTGTCTGTTACTTTGTTCCTGACAAATTTTCCTGACACCAAGAGAAAAATGGTGACAGCAGAGGGACCTCCAGCTGACTGAAAGCCTCAGCTCTGTACCTGTGTGCTGTGTGGAAGGGAGGGTGTCTCTTCCCTCCAACCAGCTCTCAGAGCTCCCCTTACTGAGCTCTGCAGAGTGTGATTTCAGCTCTCCCCCCCCCCTTAGTTTTCTTAACTCTCAGACAAGCTTTATAAAATTATCTCTGCTGCAGCTAAATTATATTTACAAGTCTTGTTCCTCACCCAGCCTGTGACTGGACAGTAAAAGGAAAAGCAGTAAACTAATGACCTCATCATCTCTTTGTTACGCAGCTCTCTCTTCCTATTAGAACTGCCGCCATTGATAACAGGATTTTTGTTACCATAAAATCCCTTTCTCTGACTTAGTTGACAGACACAGCTCTCTTCTATTCTTGACCATAGGGTTTATAGCGCCACCTATAGGAGTAGAACACCAGGCAGAAAAAACTCAGCACTGCTCATGGGTAGTCCCAGCTGGTATAAACACCCTCTCTGCTATAGGCAAACCAGTTACTAACAAAGCAGTGCAACAAATAAAAACCAAGATGGGTGAGTACTGTGGGTGCTGTCTCTGTCAACTAACTCAGAGAAAGGGAGTTTATGGTGAGTAACAAAAATCCAGATTTCTCCTACGTTCATTGATGGACACAGCTCTCTTCTATTATTGACCACAGGGATGTCCCAAAGCAGTGTATCAATGAGGAGTGGGCAAACAAAAACAAAAGAAACCAGGCAAACCTGCCAACCACCCAAACAAACTCTCCCCCCAGAGAACAAGGAACCTGAAACAGCAACCTGCAAAAACACTTTACAGACAACAAGCATCCTGAGATGCAAGCACCTCATTTTTGCAAAATTTGCAAGTGTGCACAGATGGCCAGGTAGTCACCTTGCTAACCAGAGACACACCTGATGTCAAAACGCCCAGAGGCACTGACAGCTCTAGGTGATTGTGCCAAAATGGCAAAGTGTGGAGCCTGAGCCTTAATGGCATAAACCAGACTAAACTTCTGCTGAATCCCTCAGGAAAAAGTGGCACAGAAGGCCACCAGGCCATTTCGGGGGCAGTTTGTGACTGCAAAAAGATAATGTAACAAATAGTTATACACAAACCACCCAGATCACGACCAAGAAGGGCAACACCACTGCCTCAGGGCCTCGGACACAGAGAAAGCAGGACATCTCCATCGGTTGGTATCCAACACCCCCCAGAAGGTAGGAGACCCAAAGGGATGAGACTGCCATTTCCAACATTCACTGCGAGGAAGTGAGAGCGACAAAAAAGGCAAATCTTGGGATTGCTATGCAAGAGGATACCCTGAATACTCTTAAAGAGAAGCTTCTGGAGGACTGATTTGCCTATAGCACAGAGGAGTTTTTTTACCAGCTGGGACTTCCAATAGGTGGTGCTGATTTTTTTTCTTCCTCAAGCCCTACTCCTGTAGGTGGCGATATAAAATCCTATGCTCAGGAATAGAAGAAAGCTGTGACTGTCAATTAAAGTAAGAGTAAGAACAATTTGTATTCTGTCAAGGTGTACTCTAATTGGGCAAGATGGAGATGAGGGGCAGTGATATCAAAATCTCTACCTTATCCATTCAGAAAACACCTTGCATTCATTGAAAAAAATGCAAAACATTATGAATGGCTACATTGCCCCTCCCCCCCCCAGTGGTCAGTATGCAGAGGGGAAGTCATTTGAAGGACCCAGAAGGCCATGGCTATCACTGTTGTAGAGCAGGCTGTTACAGTGATTGTCAGCTTCCCCAGTGGACCCTCAGGTATGACCAATGTAAATAAGCAAAACAATATATGCAAAAGCAATGATAACTGGAGTTCAACTTTTAAGGGAAATATGAATGCATTGCAGAGATGTACTACGTTTGTCAAGGGAAAAACCCTTGACATATTGTTAAAAGTTAATTTGGGCTTTAAAAAAGAAAAAACATTTCATCACTGCAGCAGAATTTATTTCTTTTTAATTAAGTTTGCAAATTGGGCCATAAAAACATCCGCGATAAACAGTATTGCAAGTTGCAGCACTTTGAAAGCCACCAAGGATAAGAGAGAATATTTATCCAACCCTGGCACTTCACATACTAAGGACCTACAAGTCCAAGCACACAGTGCTGACAAGAAACTACATAGGTTGTCTTTCAGTTTTAAAGATCATTGTTTCACAAACTGGGCGTGATGAAAATTAAATAAAACAAATGACAAATATGTTATACATACCAGCTCTCTGGAATACATATCAGCTCTCTCATCCACTTTAACCCAGCCATACATGCATTGACACCGGTCCAGCAGGAATTGGACAAATTTCAATCCTTGTATGGGTAAGGCTGGCTGTATACAAGTTGATCCATCAATCGACCTTTGTACAACCTATTGGAAATTTTTCTCTCGATTATCACCACCAGCTATAGCTGATGGTG